CCGCGCTGGTCCCACTGCCACCACCCACAGCAGTCACTGCTCATGCTGGCATCACTGCGGTGCCAAGTGCCAGCAGTGCTGGGGGCTCAGCTGTCCACAAAGCCAGGGCAACGAACAGAACACACACACAGAGGGGTGCTGCCTGAGAGGGGAGAGGTCTGCACCCACTGGTCATCAACACACTCGCCTGCTGCTCTCTGCCCAAAACCTGAACTGCTGGTATTGTCATCCAGCCCCAGTGCCTGGCAGGACCTGCAAGATGGGCTGGCCACAGCAGGGAGCCAGGCAAACGCTGCTCGTTTTGTATCCTAGGGCCAAAGGCGAGGGTCGGTGCTGGAGCCACGGCAAGAGGAGCCCCAGCCATGCCAGGACACACGGCAGGAAGAGCTGGAGCCAGCACAGGTGCTGGCCTCAATACGGGCGCTGCAGCTGGACCTGCACTTCTGCAGGGGCATGAATTCCAGCTGCAGCAGCAGGAGTGTGCAGTGGAGCAGAAGCACCAGGACTTGGTCTTTCTGATGCAGCAGTACCACGCGCTGGTGGGCAAGGTACCAGTGCCAGGCACGATGGTCACAGGCCAGGCCCCTGGCCATGTGTCCCCCACAGCCATCCCATCATGGGCTAGGCACCATACCTGCCCAGCAGCCCTGCCCGTGCTAAAAGCTGGTGACCAGCCCCTCCAAGGGAGGGCAGGGGATGTCCTGCCAGCCACGTGTAGGATGAGGATTTAGCACTGTACCCTGTACGAAGCAGCCCACCCAGCCCAGACACAGGCTGGCATGGCCCAGTCCACCTGACTGAGCAGAGATGGAAGACTGCAGCCCCTCATGGCCCCACTGACACCCTGGGCACCAGCCCAGAGCTGGTGTCACTGCTGCAGCCCACAGCCTTGCTGGTGAGCTCTTCTCGTCCACCTGTGCCCTGTCACAGGTCAGTGGCCACCAGGATGCCTTTCCAGGGCTGCTGGGTATCCAGCAGACACTGCCACAACAGGGAGGGCACGGGGGAGTTGCAAAGGGATAAGGCCAGCAGCTAGCAGCCATCCTGCCTCCTACCTGGTGTGGGCCACATCCCTCTGCCACAGGCCCTCCGCAACAGCCCATTGCCTGCAGGTTTCTCCAGCCCCAGCCTCTCCCCAGTGGGAGCACAGAGTGACTCAAGGGCTCTCACACCCTGCTGGGTACCCACAGGCCAGTGATGCACCTCTCCACAGGACCAGAAGGATGAGGCAGTGCAGACAGAGGTCACCTCCTGCGTGGCTGCCCAGAGCCAGACCGACACCAGCGACAGCACCCTGGAGGAGCGCCCAGAGATGCTCAAGCAGGTCAGTGCTAGCAGCACCGC